AGTAGAAAACGTATCACTTCGATTTCTAATTAAATTACAGTATCCGACAGGTTGCATAATTTCATTTGTCTGCAGAGGAGGTAATTTTTATAACACCTCAAATCAGCGCTTGGCTAATTTTCGCACATTTCTGTCTTAATAACTCCTCTGGTTGCCGGAAATCTTTGAAGTACTTTTTTGTTTCGTAAGAAGAGTTTCTTTTTTTACTCAACACAAATGCGTTAGTGCAATGGGCTACAAGGGATTGATCAACGATAAAGCTTTTCTTATCTTGAGTTGAAAGTAGTTAATAATTTATCAAGGAGTTTTGCAGGTTATGAGGTTCACAGGTGATATGGGATACTATAGAATTTTCTCAGCACCTTGAACTTTTGTTTTCTGCTAGTCAGCTTCATTCATTTATAAAACGACATGATCTTTAGCAACCATAATTCTTATGGACTATGATAGGTCAACGATGTGCCTCAATAACCAAAAGACCTCCATGGCAAGCATGAGGACACTTACTGGCTTAACCGTTACAGCTTTCCCGTATTCCCAGTGCCTTTCATTTATATATTTTTCGATTAATCGAGATCATCTATGAGGTCTATCGAATTGTAATAATTGACTATCTTAATTTATTTTCTATAGAAATATTTGTTCTAAGCGGTAACCACACAGAATGCGATATTGTCTTAAGCGATAATAACAGTGGCTCCACTGAAATTCGTACTAAAAACTCCAGACGACTCGATTGAGGATATTCTGCCATATTTGTATTGATTTGTTAGCCATGATGACGTTCGTTGTCTGAATGATGTTCATCTCCTATCAATATCAAATGGAGTACTACAATTACCGTAAACCACATCACCGTAAAACTTCCTGAAATGGTCCGATGCTGTGCAGGCACTTCTTTTATATCACCAGCCGCACAATTTCCATTCGCCGTCTTATCACAGCTTGGTTGTTTACCGTCTTCTCGCAGATGTTCGTCACTATGTTGTTAATAATGTAGCAGTTCTGTCTTTTATTCATCATGACTGAAACCAAAATAGTTGTGGCTCTTGAATGAATTTCTAGCAGAATTTCACCTTTATGTAAAAATTGTAAAGAACAAAGTACAGAAAAATGGATCCTGGCATTACACCTCAAAATATGCATTTGAGCAACGTGAAAAAATTAAGATGATTACATCTTTCCATTAAAACACATTCTCATTCATCCCCATTCCCACCTTTTTTCTGCTAATTTTTCCACACAACTTATTGCATTTCAAGAATTCCGTGTTTCATAGGGATTCAATCGATAGTGTACGAATGATTTAGCCGATTGCTCATCTCCGCTGGAAACTTTTGCTGGCACATTAGCCTCGGTAGTGTACGCCATGGCTGCCGGTATGGTGAAGCCGGTGATCCTGAATCGTAGATTCCGTCCTGCAAAAGTACATTTTTTGAAATGACAAAACTTCTGACGGTTGCAGGCGACAATTCACTAACGTTAAATTAGGAGAGGTAGGTGGGAAAAGTACAAGATCATCCTCCGAAATGAGGGATATTTCAATAGCATGTGATTTTTTTGTGGTGAACATTTCAAATCGGCGCGGCAATTGCAAGATAATTTCTTAATGGTGGATTACATTACAAGTAGTTTACAATGAATATCACCTAAAGTGAAATTCAACAAAATCGCTAACAATAACTCATGTGAGCTTCCTTTGATACGAAAATCAATACGATGAAAAAATCAGTTAGGTACACGAATGTAGGATGTATCTATCTGCTAAAAATATCACCAAAATGAATGATTCAGTTGTTTAATTTTTCTCAATGTCGCGTAGTGTGGTATTTCCAGTGGAGTCCCGAGAGGCCCCTCCCACCTCCAGTTTCCCTGGCTTCTCAGAG